AATGTGTTTTTTGAACATTAAAGCATGTCAACATATTCTGTTACACCAAATACACAAAATAATGATCTTTAAAAAAGCATCATATGACCCCTTTAAATATAAATAGCAATAGTGTAGGCCATGTTGTTAATTTTTAGCATGTTGGAAGGTAGTTTTTTTGGGCATAAAATGAAAAAAAATGTTGTTTTTGGTAAATGCCCAAATGAGTCAGAATTGAATCAAATCCAAATTGCAATTAAATACAAATGAAAGCTTGTGAATCTGAATCAAACTGAATTCAGGAAATCTGTATCAATATGCAGCCTTAGTTTACATGAAACAGAGGGTTACCCTAAACCGTTTAACACAATAAGCCAAACGGAACAGCAGTATTTGTCCAGTGGACAGATAAGATAATATTTTTAAAGCCTACATCCTGAGGCTGCTGGAGGTGAGCTGTGAAACCAGTCCTTTGTGTTGTTAAGTACTCTTAAGTAGTCAAAAATAAAGAGGATCTGGTGGAGCAGTGCTTTAAATGTGCCCTTATTTATATCCTCAGCTGTCTCCTTCATCAGAAAAAAAGACCCTTGCATTCTTAGCTGGAAATATCGTGCTCTGACCACAGATATGTTCAATCTGAATATCTTTGTTACGTCCACAGCACAGCAGTGCCGCAAATACATGTTTTTTCCTCTCATTTCGTGGGCTATCGTACTTCTGAATGCTCTTACATCTGAGAGATAAACTTCAAGTCATTAGTACAACATCTGAACTGTCCAGGAGGATATGAGTGGGGATTTGAGAGGGTCACAATAATATCAATGTTGAAAGATTTGACATCTTGCTAGTCTGGATCTGCAGCTGTTTTAATCGCACTTGCCAAAGACGAAACAGACAAAATAGCAGCTAGCTTATATGAAACACCTGTGGTTATGGACAGACTAAGCAATGGGAGACAGACGGCATCCCACGTTAAGCCGAAAGTGAAGAATAGCCCACTCACTTGTGTTGGTCCCACAGCCTGTACCTACAGCATTGATAGTGGAGGGCACAGAGGATGATGGGTACAGTGAGAGGTGCCCATTTTCGCAGCCCTGTTGCTGCTGATGCTGCCAACTTCCCAGCCCAGAGTCCCTCGAGCCCTGCCAGCCGTTCAGACGGTCGTCCGACCCGTAGCGCTGGTGGTGGGGATAGAGGTGTGGAGGCTGCCCATGGTGGGATGAAGGCGCGCGCTCAAGGGAGTCTCCAGTTCCTCGGGCGGCCGCCCGCTCCTCCAGGTGGTTGAGCCAGAGGGCGAGGTTCCCCCGGTCCTCGAGGGAGGTTGCGGGGTGGATGAGGGCGTAGGACAGAAGCTGCCTGCTTTCCTCTAAGTGCCGGCCATGTTCAATGGTGTGGCCCAAGATCTTCGGCAGGAGACTCATGTACTCCACCTTGGCCTCAACGTTGCCCGGTTTGAGTAGAGGCAGGTGGGTCAGAACCAGAGAGATAACCCGTTCTTTCGGCTCACTCTGCCACTGACTGATCACCACTGCAAAATAAGAAAAACAAGAATTAGCATCTTAACATGGAAGTTTACAGAAAAGAGCATCTTAAATAAAATTAAATAAATATATAATATACAATAAATATATAATTAAAAATAACTTCAAAGTTTTGCATACGTTTACAGAAAGAACATCTTAAAATAAAATAAAATAAAATAAAAGTTTAGCACATTTTATTTTCACAGAAAAGGTCACCTTAAAATAAAATCATATAATAAAATAAGTGGAATTCGAAGCTTAGCACAAGTTTGCAGAAAGAGCACCTTAATAAAATAAAATAAAATAAATAGAATTGTAAGTTTGGCATAAATTCTCAGAAAATAAAATAAAATAAAATAGGAGTTTAACATGGGATAGATATGGTTTATTGCATTGCATGGAAGGTACACAGTGATATATGCCTGGATGAAATAACATGGACAGGTCATCCCTGTTTTTACTCTTCCTTTAAAATAACTGCTGCATTTTAAGCATTTGGTGAGGACACTATTCATAACCAGGGTCATGCAACCTATTGTAACACGCCTCACAAATGAACTGTAGGAACTATAGATACTTTGAGGTCACGGCAGAGGCTTTGTCCACCACCAATAATAGAGAACGCCGGCCACAGAGTGAACTTCTACATCACGTCTATGACTCATTTATTCTCTGGGTCTGTCGTTACTTTGGACATAGAGGCACAAGTGGTATCCAAAAACATCTTTTTTGTAGGCCTAATGATATATGATCATAATCTCATGAAAGCTGTCAACAGCATGTCCAGTTCTATTTCACCCCAAAATCAAAAGAAAGATATTGTTTTCCTAAAGAAATTGCTTAGTTTTAGGAACAATTGTTTTTTTCATATTAACCTACAATGAAAAGAAAAATGTAATTTTAATAGCATATGCAAAAATAATTATATATTATTTAAACGCTAAAATATGTATACATCATTGTAGTATGCTCTGTCCTGCCTTTAATGTTGACAATATTAAATTAAATTACTAAAATGTAAAATAACATTTTTAAAGTGTCATTTTCTTCTGACTTTGGGATAAAATGTGACCCTGATATGTTTTCACCAGTACACAAATACAGAAAATAAACATTACCATTAGATCAAGAGAAACATTTTGTAGTTTAAAATGACAATGATTGTAGCATTAATAAAACAGGATCCTAAAGGTTTCATCAGTGTGTGTACGAGTAGAGATGTTTCAGCGGTCTTCTGTCATGTTTAGCATGAAGCTATGCTTGTTTAGACCTCATACCAGTGTCATGCCAGAAGCAGGCGCATAGACTTGAGGACGACTGTGGACTGATGATTAAGTGTCTCTCTGGGAGTCTTTTTCAGGCACTTCCATTTTTACTGATGGGCCACCGGGATTCTAGAGGGCAAGCAGACAAACCCAGTCAACACCTCCTGGTGGTCCTTTACTTATGAGGCTATTCAAACCCACAACTTTTCAGTTACTTACCCAGATTTTAAATCAACATCCATTTATTACAAAGCACAATAAAATAGTGTACATTTGATCAAGTTCATATCCTCAGTCAATACTAATTAAGACCATGTGTGTGCAACCACAATCACAAACCACTTAAAAACAGGTGGTGTTAAAAGGAATAGTTTACCCAAAAATTAAAATGAGCAGAAACTTGTCTTACTCTCCGGCCATCCAAGATGTAGATGAGTTTGTTTTTTCATCAGAACAGATTTGGAGAAATGTAGCATTACATCACTTGCTCACCAATGGATCCTTCTGCAGTGAATGGGTGCCGTCAGAATGAGAGTCCAAACAGCTGATAAAAACATCACAGTAATCCACAAGTAATAAACATGACTCCAGACCATCAATTAACATCTTGTGAAGTGAAAAGTTGTGTTTTGCAATAAACAAATTCATCAAAGCGTTTTGAACTTCAAACCATTGCTTCTGCTCAAAATGTAAGTCCTCTATCCATAATATTGGTTTCTCCAGCAAGACAAAAGTACTCTCATCTGAATCAGGAGAGAAATAATATGCACCGATGAAGCACCGTTTAAAAGTGAAAACAGTGAAAACAAATATGTGGTTGGATTTTGATGTAAGAGGACAACAGGGGATGGACTTTTTCACTGGAGAAAGTGTTATTATGGATTTTGGACTGGTATTTTGGCCAGAAGTGACGGTTTAAAGTTAAAATGCATTAATGATGGATTTGTTCATTTAAAAACATGCGGCTTTTCACTTCACAAGAAATTAGTTGATGAACTGGAGTGTGAATTATTGTGATGTTTTTATCAGCTGTTTGGACTCATTCTGACGGCACCCATTCACTGCAGAGGATCCACTGGTGAGGAAGTGATGTAATGCTACATTTCTCCAAATCTGTTCTGATACAGAAACAAATTTATCTACATCTTGGATAGACTGAGGGCGAGTACATTTTCATTTTTGGGTGAACTATTCCTTTACAGGGATGTGCAACGTTTACAAGATGTGAAGAAATATGTAAAGTTTAAAAAAAACAAATTAGATTAAAGTGCTGCTTAGTCAGAAACACAAGAGAATTCTTCATAAATTACATCCAATGAGTGATGAGAGAAGGTTACACGTCCACCACTATGTGTCACCACTCAGCGCGGTTCAGTTTGTGCTTTGCCAAAGGTTGTGATGAGTTTATCTGGTAATAAAGTCCTCATGACCCTCAGGCACACTCCTCTACTAAAATTAGAGCCCAGCATTCAACTTGGCCAGCGTCCTGCTCTACCTCAGCGGTTGCCAGCTCCTCTATGGCTCCCACACTCCTCCATCATTACACAGTTCTTCTTCCTTCGCTCCACCCATCCAGCTGGATACAGAGGGAGTGCTGCTGCTAAAACAATGCAGCTTACTCATCTCAAGGATTCTGACTTCCTCTGCCACCATCCCCCCATTCACTTCCTTCAGGATCCGATCGCAGAGCTTCCAGAGAGACGTCGGACCTTTCTCACACTATCCCTTTCCTTTATGGCTCATCGCTGAATCCTACATCTGATATTTTGCAAGAACAGACCCACCAGATATTGCTAAAATCATGTGTCAGCCACGCATGCAAATTAAATTTTACTGACGGTGACAGTTTTTTGTGTACTTGCATTACGTTCTGAGTCTGACACATTTCTGAACATAGCAAAACTCATTTTGAGATGCACTAATATTAAACTGCTGGCCAAAACTGACTGATTAACAACCATGTCAGATATTAAAATTCGATATCACATCTAAACGGTGTTATTTTAGTATTATTTACAAAATATTATACTATCTTGAATTAGTGTTTATTTTGATATTTTCAGTTTTCATTTAATTTGAGTTCAAGTTTTAGTAATTATGTTATGTGCTTTTGTCATTATTATTAGTTGTTGATCTTAAGAAATATTACTTTATAGTTTACATTTATTTTTATATCAGTTTTAGTAATTATAGGACTACAACCTAAACTTATTTTAGTTAGTTGTCAAGGCAACAATTTTAATTTATCGTTTAGGTTTTTTTCGTCTAAAACGTATATTTTCTTTTAGCTTTAATTAAATTACCTAAAACTATTTTTAATAGTTTTAGTTAACAATAAGAATACTGTTTCTGAATAAAATAAAATAAAATACTAAAAACAAAACAAATAAACAAACAAAAACACTCAAATAAACTGTTTTTTACATGATTTGCTAGAATTTCTTTTAGGCATCACATCACTATAATTTAAAAGTGTTATTAAATTATTATTATTATTTTTAAGATGAACTTCAAGTGAGCATTAGATGACTTTAAAGGTCATCTAAATGTAAAATAATCATACAGTATATATATATATATATATATATTAGTGCTGTCAAATGATTAACGAAAAGAATTCGTATGATTAATGATTAGAAACGTAGTGAAGGCAACATTCTGCAGGGAGTCTGTGAATCACAGTTGATTCACAGCGGTCAGTCTAAGGAAAGCCCTTCTTTAAGGCTCCACTGAGTAATTTTTACACAGTAAAACATTGCGTTCTAGTGAACTCCACGTGGCGCCTGCTCTCAGCAAACAGAGCTTTCAAACATCCCTGCGTTCGGTCGTAATTTGTATTTCCTCCGCCCCTTCCACTTAACCTTCCGATTGGATTAAAATAGAAGCTGCTCTTCAACAGCACAATGTTTGAGTACACAAACTACTCCAGAGGAGCGAGGCCTGAGCAAAAACACTGAGAAACTATTCCTCCTGAGCCTCACTAAACTTTATGAGGAAGTCAATGAATTCAGTCAACTGATTCGTTCAAAAAACTGATTCATTCAGGGACAAAATAAGTGACTGCTAATTTCAGAATATCATACAATACACTACAATACATTATTTATTTGTAAAACAAATTGACCAAAGTGCTGTACAGAATAGAATAAAAACTCTGAATGAATAAAACAAGACTATTACATTTAAAACCCAACAATAACAAAACAACAATTAAACCAATGATCAAGAGGTATTGAAAGCTAGAGAGAATAGATATGTCTTTAGAGCAGACTTAAAAGCAGAAAAAGAGGGGGCTAATCTAATATCTAATCTAATATCATACCATCATTCTATTCCTACAATTTAGTATGCTAACATGCTATTTTGAATTTAACCACTGTCTTTATGAGTCACAAATTCAATAAACTGATTCATTCAAAATTACTGATTCATTCAGAAATTGTTGACAACTTTTTTTTTAATTATTATTAGTATAGGACAGTGTAGAAGTGACAGAAAGTGAAGTGGGAGAGAGAGAGAGAGGGGGGCGGGATCGGGAAAGGTCCTCAAGCCGGGATTCGATCTCGGGAAGCCTGTAGCACAAAGGCACTATATGTCGGCGCGCTACGGCTATCAGCAATTAATTCAGAAATTCATTTTTTTTTATAAGCTTCACACTGAATCATTAATCATTTGTATGCACTGTTTTGGAAACAGACTAAGAAAATAATGGCATGATGTAATTAAAACACATTGAGAGA